TAATTAATAACTTATATATATATTTTTTAAATAAATATTTAAAGCTATAAAGATAAAATAATTTAATACAAAAAATATCATCAAAGTAAGTTAATTAATAAATCAACAAATAAAGTACAAAAATTCTGAAGATATTACAACTCAACGAGTGATATATACGACTATATACATATGGTTAAAATTTGTAAAATTATAAAATAAATGATATATTATTTTTTATAAATAACAAAGCTTATTGCTTTCTAATTTATTGGTTTTAAAGTTGATTAATATATAATACAAATAAAAATTATAATTAATATTATCTATTAATTAAAAAAAGTAGAAGAGAGAGAAAAAAAATTTCAAACTTCTAGATTATTTAATGTTATTAGTCGAGTTTTTTTGGACCTTTTTAATAGGTGGGGGTGCAAATAACAACCCCCCTATGCATCGCACCCTGTGTAACAACCCTCACATCTCAAATACTTATAATTCATATCATCATTCTCATAATACTAAARTAGTATTATTACAAAACATGAACTATCAAAATGTATCTTTAATACATATGCATAACAAGCTAATATCAACAATTATACTTTTCCCTTGCCTTTATCTTTCAGAGCACGCTGTCCTGCAAAACAGATTAAGCCAACATCTGAGCATTAGACCAAAAGGTCTAGTGAGTGTATAATCTTATACAACAATATATATTCCAAACATTCAGTTTAGAATCAAACCTGTTCCGAAACATAAATATATTTTTGTTTCTCGCGGATTACACCGTCATCTCATTTTCATATCTATTTCTCACTCACGGTTACACCGCCCATTATATCAATCTCGCGGTTACACCATCACTATAACACTCTCGCGGTTACACCGCCATCTCACCCGCAGTTACATTGCTCAATATATCACTCTCGTGGTTACACCGCCATTATATCACTCTCACGGTTACACCGCCATCTCACTCCCAGGTACACTACCATTATATCACTCTCGCGGTTACACCGCCATCTCACTCGCAGTTACACTGCTCATTATATCACTCTCGCAGTTACACCGCCATTATATCACTCTCGCGGTTACACCGCCATCTCACTCGCAGTTACACTGCTCATTATATCACT